TCAATCATAGCTTGTCTCCATCCTGAATGTGAAAGTGCATCACCTGTAGTCGTAGGAACAGATACAGAGGACAAAGAGGAAAGGCAAGCAAAATATGATGGAGAAAGACGATGGTAACTAATATTGACTGTATACCTGGCCGGAGGGCGAGTATCACGAGTACCCTTACGAAGAGCAATGGGAAGGTCACTATCCGAAGGTGGGACCGAAGCCGTGGGAGGAGATGCAGTTGAATGTGAGTTCACAGATACATCTGACAACTATGCTCGATCTCATCAGCAGAGGAGGTGATAGAAGGAGAGTCAGAAACATGGACAGGTAAAGACGGAAGGTAAAGAAGGTCACCTAGGAAGGATGACTGTACAGAATCAATGTCCACAGGAGTAGTAGAAGTGTCCACAGGAGTAGTAGAGGATCCAAAAAGGGAACTGATTCAAAAAAGGAGACATCCGCCGAGATAAAGTATCGAAGTAAAGTGGGAGAGTAGCAACGGTAACCCTTTTGAGACCGAGGATAACCCAGAAAAACACATTTATGAGACTTGGGAGCTAATTTATCCAAACCTGGACCAAGATGATGAACAAAACACGTAGAACCAAACACATATGGAGTTAAAGGATATAAAGGGAATAAAATAGAGTGGGGTACCTTATGATTGAGAACATATGATGGCATGCGATTAATGAGATAGCATGCAGTAAGTATAACATCACCCCAGAATGTGTATGGAACATTACCATCAATTAACAAGGCACGAGTGGTTTCAACCAGATGGCGATTCTTGCGCTCGGCTACACCATTTTGTTGAGGTGTATGAGGGCAAGATGTTTGATGAAAAATGCCATGAGATGAAAAGAATTGTTGAAATTGATGAGATAAGTATTCACATGCATTATAACTACGAAAAGTACGAATAGGAATACCAAATTGAGTTTTTATTTCATTATAAAATAACTGAAAAATAGAAAACAACTCAGACCGCTTTTTCATCAAAAATAACCAAGTACATCTAGAATAATCATCAATAAAGGTAACAAAGTACTTAAAACCCAAAGTGGAAGAATGACGACTTGGTCCCAAAACATCAGAGTGGACCACAAAAAAAGGAGAAACAACTTGACGACTAAGACGACTCGGAAACGTACTACGAGTATGTTTCCTAAACTGACAAGACTCACAATTTAAAGTAAAAAGAGACGATAAATGGGGAACCATCTTCTGAAGCTTTGCAAGACTAGGATGGCCCAGACGAGCATGGATGGTAAGAGGAGAATCCACAGTGGAGCAGGCTGAGGAAGAGGGAACTAGTTGATAGAGGCCCTGAGACTCATATCCTTTGGTAATCTCCTTCCCCGAACTCCGATCCTGAAAGATGACAGAGGTTTTAGTAAAAGAAACAACACAATCAATGGATTTGGTCAAACGACTAACAAAAAGTAAGTTAAAAGGAGAATCGGGCACATATATAACATGATCCAGAGATAAATTGGGTAAAAGAAGAACTGTGTCAATCCCCCTTGATTGGACCAGAGACCTATTAGCCATAGTAATAGTGGGAAAAGAACCAGTAGTACAAAGGAAAGTAAATAAGGACTTATTACCATAAATGTGATCAGAAGCCCCAGAATCAAGAGTCCAAGGGCTTATAGAGTGCAACTGAGAGATGCCAGCAAAAGAATTACCAGCGGGAGCAATGGATGCAGTGGGACCTGATGTTTGCTTCTCAGACCACCAAGTCTCAAATTCATTCAGAAGAGTAGCTGGAGGTTGTGCACTGGAAGGTAACTCTGGAGCAGAGGTACTAGAGAAAGCCTAAGCAACATGAGCAGAGGTACTAGGTGGCCTGCCATAAAGCTTCCAACAACAGTCAATAGTATGATTGGTCTGATGACAATGAGTGCATAAGAGCTTTCCTTTAGAGAATCGATGTCCACGACCATACCTTTGAACAGCAAGAGCGGAAGAGTCAACAGAATCCGCTGGCGGTATATGCATCATAGGAGGTGCTGATGATGTAGAGGGCTTAGAGGGAATTCTAAGCAAGGTAGACATCACGGAATCCAGTGTAGAAACGGTAGAAGAGGGATCTGTGCATCAACGCAAAAAGAGGTTCAAACACCAAAACAAGACCAGATCCAGAACCTACGCAAGGAGACGAGAAAATCGCAACCAGCCACGTCCGGAGAGGAGCCTCCACGCGCCGCCAGAGTGAAGAGAGTGACCGAACTGTCACGCGCGCGTGAGGGCGCGTGTGACCTTGGAATCGAATGGGACCAGTGGCGTTGGAACCGCGCGACTGAGACGAGCACGGCGATATGTGGATCGCCGGAAAAGGTGACTGGACGGTGGTTCTGGACGAGACAGAAGTTGTATGCAAAGAGATAAGCGTCCAAAAACTTTCAAGGAGACAGCTCCGGAAAAAATTTAAACGACGATGAACAGTGGGTTCACCGGAAAAAAAAATTTCAAAGTTCCATAGGCTCTTGATACCATGTTAAATAACGAGAGAAAAGAGAGGAACATTTGAAATATTTCTGTATATTAACGAATGAGAGAGATGTACAATATATAAACAAACTAATGGGCTAAACCCAAACCTAATGTAATCTGACCTAATACAAAATAAGGAAACCCTAATTATAATATATTTCTAACAAAAAGTAAAATATAATATAATTTTCTCAATTAGTGAAATTCATGATAAATTTTCGTTTGAAATTTTTTGCATTTGATCTTGTAAACTTTGGAATTTTTGTTTTACGTGACAAGAGATGTCTAACCATATATCATATGCATATTTTCATTGAGTATTCCAAGAAAATTTTGAATTTCAATTTCTGGGTTTTATTACATGAAAGTTTAAAAAATTTCTCAAATTACTTTCAATCGATACATTGAAATCTTAAATTGCTTTGGGGATTTTGAAAAAAATAAATTTAGTTATCTATTGACACCAAAATTGTTTGAAATCGTTTTCTATATATCGAATGAATTTCGTTTATGAATGTATTATTATGAAATATAGGGTTCATATTATGAAAGTTTCAATCTTTCTTTAAATCCATCTTGTTTCGTTGATGTAAAATGAAAATTGGTTTGGGGAATTTCTGTTCCCTGGTTGTTTTTTCACTATTTTATGTTGTTTTTAATACAAAAATCACATATTTTCTTACCAAGAAAAATCATGACCGATAGCTTAAAAAATCATTTTTAAACTTTCAAAAATTCTCAAAAATTGCTTCAAAATCTGCTATTTTTGAGATGAAAATCTTGTTGGGTTGTTGTTTGTTGTTTCTGGGTTGTTTTATGATGAAAATCGTTCAAAAATCTGTTGTTTTTGAGCTTTGACGAAACTCTCATGGAAAAACTCAGTTTCGAGCGTGTCAATCCACCAAAGGAAGAAGAAGACACTGCAATAACGAAATATTAAAAAATCCCAGGGGTTAGGGTGAGATTGTGAGAGAGACATCCTATTTATATTTCTCACTAAAAAGTCTCACGAAATCCACACAAATAGAAAATCCATTAAAATCGTAATATTTTTGAATACCATAAGATTATTTTTCCTTTGTTTAAAATCCTGATTGAATACCATCGAATTTGAACGGACTCTAAAACAATATTCTAAAATCCTACTCGAATACCACATGACTTTTTTTTCGATCTTTTAAAATCTTAATCGAATACTAATGGATTTTTTTGCCCAAAATAATCCATTAAAATTCTTTGAAATCTCAATCCAATACACACCCTTAATATTTATCATGTTATAGATGATAAATTTTATCTCTTACACACATACAAATATGTGAAACCCATGGGCCATGAGGACTCATGTGAGTAGAAAAGAAAGAAAAAGAAAACATGAGTGTTACACACTTTTATGTGTGCATAAAAAATAAATTTATCTTTTGTAACATGAGAAAAAATAATTTTTTTAATAAAACCAAAATATATTACTTTTTAACCTCATACCATCTCGTGTTTTAATTTTAGAGCGCACCACACATAGAATAGAATGCACCCATATTAAATGTGCTGTATCTTCCTAATATATTACCGGATGCTACCTTAGTAAGTAATGGTTGCCGTGTATTAAAAAAAGAAGAAGTAATGGTTGCCAATATTTATTAATGAATCCTGCAAATATTTGTAAATTAAACTAGCACTTCACCCTTTTTTTATTATTAAGGCGCCCAATAATTAATTGCGTCCAGGTTGCCCATAATAATAGCTGAATGGTTTTAGTTTAAATAATATTTCATGTTCTCTAATGTATAAAGATTTATATATTTATGGTGCAGGAAGTTAAAAGTTTACATCAAATAAAACAAGTCAACAAAAACGTATTAGGCTTATTTATTACTCATGTGCATTGCACATATAATTAATATAGTTTAAACGAAATAACAAATGAAAATATTAAAAAATCACAATTTCAGCCAAAATGTATTATTATTAAATATTAATAAAGAATGAGTTTTTACAGCTTGAATTTATCAAGCAATTACTCTTAAATCTGAACAAATTCTGGTCGTTGATTCCCTAATTGTATGATATTTCTTTTGAATTGATTTACATATATGTAATTCTTAATATCTTTTATTTTAAAATTTAAATAATTTAATTATACATATATATTTTTTACAATTTTAAACATTTTCCATTATAATTTATATATTTTAAATGTGACAAATTAACTATTTACCATTTATAATTTATAATTTAAATTTCAAAATATTGTACAAGATACTTTCCAAGAATAAGATATTTTATTTTCCTACCATGAAAGAAAAGAAAACAAGATATATTATTACACTGTGCAATTGACAGAGTAGGGACCCAAAAAAAGGAAAAAACTCGTGAAACGTTGCGCTTATTCAGAATTCAAGTTCCCGCTTAGTGCGCACTTTAAAAACCTCATTTTTGTTTTCTCTTTCCCCCCAAACAAAAGTTTCAGTCTTTGAGTCTCTCTTGAGCTTCTTTCTTCTCTGCCAACAATGGTCAAACGCAGAACACCAGAAGCCCCCGATGAACAAGACGACACCGTTTCGTTGGTTCCTTCTAAGCGAAAGAACGCTAAGCGCTCTGACGCTAACTCCGAAGACTGCTTCGTCGGAAAACCCATCCCGGCCTCCGAGGCTCTTGCCAAATGGCCCCATCGGTATTCGACCAAGGTTTTTATTCTTCTCAATCCTCTTCTCTTCAGAAATACCTAATTTTCTTTCCAAGTTTGTTCTTTTTTTTTTTTTTTTAAATAAAAAAATCTCTCTTTGCTGAAACTCAGGTGGAAAAGAAGGGTTCAGCTGGAAGGTCAAACGAGTGAGTTCAAATATTTTCCTATTTTTAAATATTATTATTTTATTTTTTTGCATTTCGAGTTTGAAAAATCACTATGTGGTATGTATAATGTATATGATTGTGTAGGGTAACCAACGAAGATGGTAAGATTTTTCGGGCAAAGTGTCATTATCGTCAAGCTAGGGTGGATGGGGTTCTGTATAAGGTTAATGATGATGTCTATGTCAAGGTATTGTGCCCTTTTTCCTTCGCTGTTTTAATTATGATGGTATGTTCTCACTGAATTTTTTTGTAAAGATTGAACCTTGTTTTGCAACTATAATCTTTTGTTGTTGAAGATTTTGTGGTTGGATTCACTATTTTTACGTTGCACATAGAATTGTTGTTACTTTTGCTGTTGTTTGTGATTGCTGTGTTAATTTATTCTCATACAACCTGCCTTTCAGGCTGAAGATGAGAAGCCTGATTACATTGCACGAATCGTTGAGATGTTTGAAACGGTTGAGAATGAGAAATATTTCACAGCTCAGTGGTTTTACAGGGCTGAGGACACTGTGAGATAACTTTTACTATAGCTTTTGTCTTCATCATCCATTAGCTGTATTGGGTTTTTAATTTTTGAGGTTTGAATTCGTGCAGGTCATCAAAGACCATGGTGATCTTGTTGACAAGAAACGGGTATTTTTATCTGATATCAAAGATGAGAATCCGCTTGATTGTATTGTTTCCAAAGTGAAAATCGTTCAAGTCACTCCAAATGTACGTGCTTCATAGTCACTTTGTGTGTGTGTGTGTGTGTGTGTATGCGTAAATACGTTGTAATTCATCTATTTCTTCTAAAGCACCTTGCGTGTGATATGGTTGAAAGAGTTTGCAATTCGAATACTACAGGTGGGTTTGGCTACAAAGAAGAAAAAAATCCCTTCTTGCGATCTCTATTACGATATGAAGTACACAGTGCCATACTTAACCTTTTCAAACCTTGGCAATGGTAGGAATTTCTTTTCAGATATGATGATTTGTATACTGCAATGCATTCCTCATCGTTGTTATTTATGTTGCACTTACTCTGAATTTGCTTGTTGACGTGGTTTACTCTGATTATCCAGAGGCAACTAAAACAGAAAGTGATGCATCTTCAACAATTTCCAGCGAAGCTGGATCTAATTGTTGTGTTGATGTCACTAACATAGTCAAGGGAGATACATCTCAACATAACAGATCTGATTCGTCAGAATGGACTTTACTAGATTTGTATTCTGGCTGTGGAGCCATGTCCACGGGCCTATGCTTTGGTGCATCTATATCTGGCATCAAACTTGTTACAGTACGTAGAATAATTCACATCAATCAATTTGGTTTATTTTAGCTGTCCTTTTAAACAACTTATTTTGACGGATTTTGGAACGCTTTGTATTTGACTTCAAAGAGGTGGGCTGTGGACATTAATGAACATGCATGTAAAAGTCTAAAGTTAAATCACCCTGAAACTCAGGTGAGGTTTTGTTGGGTACCCGTTGTTGACATTTGTCATTGTTTCTTCATTCATATACTCATTGCTTGCCAAAAATCTGAATCAGGTGAGGAATGAGCCAGCAGAAAACTTTTTAAATCTACTAAAAGCTTGGGCTAAGCTTTGCGAGAAGTTTTCATTGTTAGGATCAGAAAGGTCAGATTCTAATCCAGATATGGACGAGGATGAGGTTGATGATAAAGTTGGTGATACGAATAAAAAAGATTCAGGAAATGCATCTGACTCTGAGGAATTTGAGGTGGAAAAGTTACTTGCTGTTTGCTATGGTGATCCCAACGATGTCAAAAAACCCGGATTATATTTTAAAGTATGCTGATTGCTGGCTTCAAACTTGCACAATACATTAACTGGTTTGCAATCACATATTTAGTTTAAAGCAGTTACTTTGTGATACTTTTAAATTTCGTAGTTGTCTATTTTTTTGGGAAACAAATGCAGGTGTGAGTATAAATTTAGGTTATAGCACAATAAGCATGTGCAATCCAATGAAATTATCATAAAATTTATGGCTTTGATTTTTTCATATTTGAAATAGGTTGTTATTTGGTATGTAAATCATTGATTTCATCAAGGCATGCTAGGATTATCTTAGTATTAATTAATGTAAATAGCAGTTATTAACAAGGGGCAACATGTGTAGCATAGATATGGATATAAGTATTGGACATGTGTATAGAATAACATTTTTGTCAAATTGGGATGTGGGTATAATGAATGGTTTTAAATATAATTGGATGTTAATGTAAGAAAAGCCTCATAATTTGGTTGTACTCAGTTTTAAAATCATAATTGACAAAATATAATAATTGCAATACCTATTATACCAATTAAGTTCATGCAGTTCTTGAGCTTTGACACTTTCATTGGCTTCGATCATCGCTTCTTGGTTAGAACATGAATTAGCTATTTCTTGGTGATATCCATAGGGTCGATATGGAAATATTGCATACTTTTAATTTTATCTCGTGCAATGAAAAATTTTCAGTTAATGATCAATCTTTCTGCTGTTATAATCACTCAGGTGCGTTGGAAGGGTTATGATTCCAGTGAGGACACATGGGAGCCAGTAGAAGGCTTGAGGTTTAGTCTTGTCATCAAAATATTGATATCATTCTCCTTAGCTTCGCTTTATGAAATTTTTGTTTCTCACTTAATGCTTTAGCCAAATCTCTGCAAGATCTAACTGTGACTATGTTTGTACCAATGTACCAGCGATTGCGAGGAAGCTTTGAAAGGTTTTGTGGAAAGAGGATATAGGAAGAAGCTATTGCCTCTTCCTGTGAGACTCCGTTCTTAAATTCTTCTCTTACACGCAAACTCTTCTTTCTCTTATAATGATTATCAATTTTGTAACACTATACGCTTGTGCAGGGTGATGCTGACTTTATTTGCGGAGGACCCCCATGTCAAGGAGTAAGCGGTTTCAACCGTTTCAGGAACAAGCAAGCTCCATTAGAGGATATGAAAAATCGGCAGTTGATTGTTTATATGGATATTATTGATTTTCTAAAGCCAAAATATGTACTCATGGAGAATGTCGTCGACATTTTGAAGTTTGCTGGTGGTTTTCTGGGGCGTTATGCTATAGGCCGTCTTGTGGCCATGAATTACCAAGCAAGAATGGGCATGATGGCAGCAGGGTCTTACGGCCTTCCACAATTTCGTATGCGTGTTTTTCTTTGGGGAGCTCGTCCTACCGAAGTATGGCTATTATTTGTACTTAAAGTTTCTCTTTTTTTTTTTTTGAGATATTTATTTTGAACGTTGATGTTATAAATATGAAGATTAATGATTTCAGTATTTTTTTGGTAGAAATTGCCTCCATATCCATTACCAACTCATGAGGTGGTATCAAGAGGTTTCGTGCCCTCTGAGTTTGAAGTAAGGACTGACAGAAAAAACATGTTCCTCCCATTTTCTTAGAAAAGCAATGGTTTCTATGATTTTAATCAATGAGATCTGGAAATTGTCATGATGCAGGAAATTGCAGTTGCTTATGACACTAAAGACACTTGTCAGCTGGCTGACGCTCTTTTTCTTGAGGATGCAATATCAGATCTCCCTCAAGTATGTTTATTTTGCTCACAAGTAAATTGGTAAATGAGTTTGTTGGATTGTTATGAAATTTTGATTTCATTTCATGCCTTGTTGTTTTTAATCTTCCCATCAATTAGGTTACGAATGATGAGAGCGAGGATGAAAGGAAATATGGGACTGCTGCTCGCACTGAGTTTCAAAAATTTATTAGATTGAAGAGAAGCGGTTAGATTTTATATTTAATTTTGGGAGAATAATGCTATCTTGTTCATTGTATCTTTCATGTGGGTTCATCTACCACCGACCCCAATTAATTTGGGATAAAGGTGATGTTGATGTTGAATGCTATCTTGTTCATACTTTGCTTTACTGTCTTTATATGCTTGCGAAACTAAATATATAAGGGCTCCCTGTCAGACATAGTTGAATATTTTGTCGTGCTCTGCATTAGTTTTGCTATAATAGTATTGTGTTGTGGTGGTTGCCTGTAGTTTGATTGGGTAAGAAAATTTGTCACATCACCTTGCATATATTAACTACATAATACTACCGCACAACATGGATATTGCCTGATTATACGTTCTCTGTTTTGAAGAGATGGTGGGTTATATGGCTACTGCTCAAAGCGCACAACGTCGAGTGCTGTATGATCATCGTCCTCTGCAATTAAACAAGGATGATTATGAGAGAGTTTTCCAGATTCCCAAGAAGAAGGTTCCCTACATTGATCTTATGTGCTTTTATATATGTACATATTGTTTTTTTACTCCAGTTTAAGTTAGATGGCGCCTGCTTTCCTTTTTAGAGTGCAAACTTCAGAGACCTACCTGGAGTAATTGTGAAAGGCAACAAAGTTGAATGGGATCCGTCCGTTGAAAGAGTGATGCTAGAGTCTGGGAAGCCTTTGGTACTAATCTTGTTTTGTCACATTATCTTATGGACATTTATTTTGACACTTGTCCTTCGTGAATTGCAAAACATTTTTCTCTAATTTATATTTGTATTCTGTTCGTGCATAGGTTCCTGATTATGCTATGACATTTGTTCGCGGGACCTCTACTAAGTATATGCATTTTATCTGTTTTCTGTTACTATGTTTTTGGTCCTCTTTTCGCTATCAAAATTCCTAATATACCTGCTGGAAAAAAAACAGGCCATTTGGTCGTTTGTGGTGGGATGAAATTGTTCCAACAGTTGTGACAAGGGCTGAGCCTCATAACCAGGTTATTCTTCTAATTTTGTACATTATTTGGCAAACTAATGCTGTTTACACAATCCTTTCGGTGCAAACTCCTATTTAGTAAATGATGTTACATTTGAATAATGTTATCTACCTAAGGGTTTTCGCGTAGGCATTTTTCAATTAAACTCGTCACCATGTCAATTGTTTACACTGTGTAAAGTAGCAGTGTTTTCTTTTGCATGTATCATGATGCATATCTCAACAAAAAGGAAATTTTATTGTTAGGTTATTCTCCACCCTGCACAAAACCGAGTGCTTACAATTCGAGAGAATGCGAGGCTACAAGGGTTTCCTGATTGCTATAAACTTTGTGGACCTGTCAAGGAAAGGTACGTTCAGTAGGAATCAGAATCATTTCTTAAATGTAAAAGTAACAATTTTGGTCCTTTTTTTCTTGAAAAATTAAAATTTCTTCTCTCGGTGCCCTGGCCATCCTAAAGTTTACTAAAATTTTTTCCCCTTAATGTGATTTAGTTTATCAGTTAAATTATTTAATATTCTCTATCTCTTTTTCAATATCACCTTCGTTTCCAGAAGATATTGTATAACTCCAGTCCTGTACTCAATTCTTCTCCTTTCTTGGCACCTAATGATTCCATGTCTAATACAGATACATACAAGTTGGGAATGCTGTTGCTGTTCCTGTAGCTCTTGCGCTGGGATACACATTTGGTTTGGCCTGCCAAGGATTGTGTGATGACAAGCAACCTTTGACAACCCTCCCCTTTAAGTTTCCAAGTTGTCTTGCCCGTTCAACTTCAGCTCAAATTGAGAATGATGACTCAAGTTGAGGCTGTTCCCCTACACTCCCGCTCTCTGCCATTGCTATTTAAACTTTTCCATTTTTAATTCATAGTTTCCATTTTAAGGTATCGAGTGTACACTAGGGCGGACGAATTGTATGCATGATTGTTGTATGTACACTTATGGCATTTCTTATAATAATTTAAGATTCAATTTTGGTAATGACTTTCCATACTGAGTTCTATTTATAAACAAAATCGATACCATTTATGCATGCTTTACCGAGTAGGATTTACGATATACGACACTTGAAAACATTTAATGGAAATCCTTGTTTTGTAAATCTTCAATCATATTAAGTTACCGCCATAAAATATTATAATTTTTCTCGTACTAAGATTTTGAACCCGTTATACACCTTTATACATCGAATCCCATGAGTAGAACTGAAGTTGTGCTGACCAAATGCAATGCAATATAGAATGCTAACATAAAATATGGTTGCCAGAAATGATTAGCCACAATATTGAATATAAAACGATAAGAATGTAAACACTTATGGGTTTCATTGATTAAGGTATGCTTAATTCATATAAATTGAAAGGCACCACTTCCGGTTGTGCTTGGTGGTGTGGTTATTGAATAGTCGTGTTGAGTGTTGAAAATGGTTATGGGGAGCCCAAAATTTAAAATATATCTTGCACGTGATTATAAAATACCGAATAGCAATGAATCAGAGTTATAATCATGTATATCTTGTTGGGCCATCACAAACTTGGAGAAGAATAATAGAGGAAATGAGGGAACAAGATGCTAGAGTCTTCTTCTCTATTGCCTATTCAGAAATTGACAGCCTTCAGCGATAGGAGCATAATGACTTATGGAGTTTAACTACAATATAAATAGGTTAGAGATAGGACTTGGCTAATAAACCAGTGAAAAATCTGTGTCCACCGAGTCCACTCATTATGAAAAACCAGAGTCACACTAAAGCCTACACTGTTGCCCAACTAGGCCCAATAACAACAGATGCCAGAAGCCCAATTCAATGTGATCACAATGAGCTAGTTACAATAATAACATTGGAATATCCATTAACCCGATTAATTTTAAAATACAAAACTAATTAATTAATATTGCCTACATATAAATAAAATTTCTAACATTCTCCCACTTGGGCTATATTAATTAATTTAATATTATTTTGAAAATCATTTTATTAAAAAAACGACTCTATCAGGTTAATAACTAAAAAATAATTTTATGTGGCCACGATTTTGAAAAACAATATTCCAATTCCAGCATCTCAGAACAATTCAATCTAACATAACCTCATCATAGGAACATTGCAATCAATATACCGAAATTATCATTGCATATGATCTTCCATGCTCACATACAATGAGTATTACATCTTCATAAATCATGAGCCTAGTAGTGTAGTAAGACTTAGTGACAAAATGTGATCAACAATGTGACACACTAATTCTTATCGGTCCTCAATGTAATTTCTCAACAATATGAAATCACATTTGTGCAATTTTCAAGCAACATGAAATTACACTTCTTGATACAATTTCTCAACAATATGAAATCGCATCACCCAATTTTAAAACAACATGAAATTGCTTTGCTTAAATAAGTCGGTATGTTACAGTACAACATGAGATCTCAATAGTGACAATTATATATCTTTAAACTTTACAACATGTTTAAAGATAATTGTACTTCTTAGTCGACAAGAGAATAATAACAAAATAACGATGATCATCAAAAATAAAACATCAACAATTCTTAAAAATATCAGTCTGCATGCAAAAAAATTGAAAAGCAAAATAAATAAATAAACATGACTCCCACTAATCTAGGGAATGAAAAGAATCAAAGATACTCAAAAGAAATCCTCGAGTACGACTCCCACTAATTAAGGGAATCAAAAGAATCTAAAGAACTCGTGTTCTATATACAAAGGAGGCTTCTCTAAGGTATTTCCTATCAAAACTTTTAGATAAAAAGCTCTTGTTTCATTCGGTAAATCATTATCTTATTGAAAAATAAAATGTCATCTACATATAGTACTAAGAATATACATCTACTCCCACTTACTTTCATGTAGATGCACTTGTCAAATATATTTAAATTAATTTAAAGGAATCAACAAAAAATTCACTGCATGTTAAGGCAAAAGGAATGCAAAAGAATAAACTTTAGGGCAAAATACAACTTCAATTAAGACAAGTTATTACAACGAGGTCAACAAAATAGTATATTTCCCTTTGGGCAGAATGCACATACAAAGGTTAAAGCCTTAGATGAATCGATAAATGAGCATACACTAGCTTCAAAGATCTGTTCCCTGTGAGCAAACAGATCACCTAGACCAATGCACCCCCAATAAGTTTATTACATATAAGCTTCCAATTAAAACACATAATAACCCTCTTTGTGTAGGAAATTGCATGAAATAACTAGAAGTATTCTACAAAGAAATTTTCATGACTAATAAATTAATCTCGCTTTGGTGGTAATCACTTATGGTAATTTGTAGAAACTCTTACAAATCTTGTCCAAAATCATGATACATGTAATAAGAAGGTGAAAAACATCCCAATTAATCATAAATAATTGCATATCCTTTTTTTTTTGCATTTAAATAGTTCAAGCAGAAGCATATTATCCAATAAAAAAAATTATTACAGCATACAACATATGCTGAGAATACAAAATCATACAACAATATCAAATGAGAGTTAATTTTCCAATACATTGTGCACCAAAATCTATCCGAAAATAAAATAAATTCATAACTGATAGAGTTTAACATAAGTTAATTTTTATCATAAAAAAAACATAGAATCCAAGTTCTTTCAAATAAGAAATATGTGCCAAAATCATTCTAAAGGGTGAAAAAAAAAATTTCTTTAAAAATCATTTTATATTCTAATATTAAAATTAATTACACATGTCCCATGATAATTTCAATATAAAACCATGCATATTTGTCACACATAATATAATAAAATTAATTACGGGTAACAATAAAATAATTAGCATATTATAAACTCAATTTTCGGCAAAGTATATAATACACCATTCTCATAACATTAAGTTAAGGACAATAATGAGAATTATATATAATTATCAATAATCCATCTTTTTTGGACAAAAATATGACAAATTATTATTTATTCCACATAAAGCTCAAAAGGAGAGGAAAAAAAAATGAAAAACTAACTCCAGAAAGTAAAATAGCTTTTTCTTAATTAACTTCAAAATTAGTGCTTTGACTTAATCCTTACCAGCCCTGACTTTCTCCAGAGCTTCAAGCAAAGCCTTCTTTCACTTATCTGCTAACCTCTAAAGAAAATTTGAACGGGTTAGAACATCATCACATTTGTAGGAGTTAGGGTTAATAATTACAATCAAAAAACGACGACAACAACAACTTGCAAGATGACATGCACAAATGGAGCAATGGTTAAAATTTTATGGTGTTATTTATTTATTCATTTCTCATTTTCTCATGTAGTGGAGAATGGACAAGAAAGTGTTGGCCGACGTGTACATTGTTAAAGAAGAAATCACTTGTCTTGCACTCATTCAACATAGCCTCTTTATGTAAGTAATGTGTCTACTTCGAAATAAGCTATCAAGAAATTACATTTTGAAGGAGCACCAAAATTTAGTTATGAGTATGTATCTGCGTTGGCAGGTATGTTGGAGTTTCTAATGGTAACATCTCAATTTTGAAGCTCGATCAAGAACCATGGCATGTGGTATAGATGAAATACACCATACCTTCTCAGCTTCATATGGTGAGATACACATTTTGGCCTTCATCATTTTTTGGGATGGGTCCTTTTCCATTCACTCGTTCCATGTAAATATTGCGTAGAATACACCCCATTGATTCTCTAAACCAGCATTTTGATTGGAACAATAAAGTAAATAATATGCACTCTCTTAGATATAGCTTCTTGTCATTTTAAATTCCTTAATAATCTTTTTAGGGAATTCAATTGAATTGTCTAATGACAGACACACATACTGCCTCAACCAGAAGCGGAAAGTAAGAGGTGATATGCACAAAACCTTCCTCCCTTTAAAAAATTCCTATATAATTAATTTGGTGTTTTTTTTTTTTTTTTTGATAACAAGTGTTTTGTTTTTACTTGATCAAAACAAAACACAGACTGGGGGCTAATGATTACAAAAAAAAATAGAGTTTTATGTTTCATTAGCAGTTTACCTTCCCCACTTTGTGAAGACTCTTCTCCAGAGTTAAGGATATCAAGATGAAAACAGTGCAAACAGCAACAACAACCCACGTTGGTGTCTGATCAAGGTCTCTAGAGCTGCTGCTACTTCTACTTGCTGCCATGGCCAAACCTCCGAAGCAAAGCCATGAAGAAAACAGACATACGAATAGCATTTTGGAATTTGAACAAGACATGGATGGAAAAATGTCGCCTTTTGAGCCAGCCACAAGGTAGGAGGAATGTGTGATGGAGAAATATGTAACCTAGCTCTGTTGGATGGAATAGAAAGAGCGGAGCAGTGAGGAGCACAGATCAAAAAACAAAAGGAGTCGTTGTTCACGCTTTTCAGTGTGTATGGTTTGTGTGTAACTACGTAATGAAAAAAAAAATACTAATTTGAGTATATTTCTGCCTAGCAAAAACTCACTTCGTTTATCCCTCTATGCGAGTCAAATCATCTAATTGGAAGCTTCACATTGCCAAGATCATCCCACTAGAAGAAAGAGCTTTCATACTTTATCTACGTCTTCTTTTCAAGCATGCTATGGGTAATTTTTTGTTCGGGAAGCTATTTTTTTTAAAAAAATAAAAATATTATTCACTTTATGTATGTTTTTGGTTATAATTTAGGGTTTTATTTTTCTCATGTTATGTTGCATGAGACAATTTGTCTCATGCAACACACAAAAAAGTGGGTGAAATACACTCTAAAAGAGAAAGAAAACAAAAAAGTGGACCTCACCCACTTTTTTATGTGTTGCATGAGACAATTTGTCTCATGCAACATGAGAAAAATAAAATCC